ATATACGATAGAATGAATGTAAAACTAATGTTCTCCCATGTAAACTATCACATAATTCACAATAAATTATTTTTTAAAAAAAGAAAAGAAAGTCAATGTAGGGGTTTTAAACAAATATTTAACAATTCAAAAAGGCATATAGATAGTAAATATTACTAATCATCAAAGAGTAAAATATCATCAATATAATTAACACCCCAATATAATATTCTACTATAAATATTCAATTAGCTCTTCTCAACATAATGATTTTAAGATTTGGGTTGAGAACTGTGGCTCTAGGGAATTCATTTCACTGTCACATAATATTCTATTCTTTTAAATGCCGTAATTTACTTACTCATTAGTCATTTACTTTGTTTCCAAGTTTTCCCATTATATCAAATGGCTTCATTTTTATTTTTTAAAACCCAATTTAACACTGAAATTTATTATAAGGTTAGGCGGCTTACAATTATTTTCTAACTAACATATGCAGATTTACTTATGTTATCTCATTTGATTTCTTGTCACCTTGTTTTTTTCCATCATTGTCTATTAGCTTAATGTCTATTGTCTATTATATTAATTCTTATCTTCATTTGCATTAGCTGATGATAAATTCTATTTATTGCCCTAAACTTTGAAAATCATATTTCATTTTTTGTCTTTCTAGAGTTTGCATATGATTATAATTACAAATGGCTAAGAAACATTATCAGTTGTGGGTACAGAATCATATTTAAATATTATTTAAAGCAAATATGGATACTTGAAGATATAATGAAAGATATGCCATTCTGTGTTTCTTAAAATCACACATATTTTAACTCATCTTCTTCTATGACAATCTTTACTTAAAAATTAATTCATTGTTCATGTATCATTGCTCACCTTGTAGCATTTTATCAATAATATAAAAAAAAAGTTCAGAAGCAATAAACACTCTTGGAAGAGTTTGTCTTGCAACTGCAACTAAAAGGATGACCTGACACATAAAAGCCGTTTCATTATAAGGTATTACAAAAACATCCTTTCTTTCTTGGTCTTCCTCTTGGTTCTTCCTAGATTTTGGTAACCATGATACAACTAAATGGCACTGAAGTGACTGAATTCTTTCTTCTGGGATTTAGTGGCCAGCACAAGTTTCGGTATGTCCTCTTCATTGTGTTTCTAGTGATCTATGTGACCACCATGGTGAGCAATATTGGAATGATCCTACTCATCAAGACAAATTCTAGACTTCAAACACCCATGTACTTTTTCCTACAGCATTTGGCTTTTGTTGATATTTGTTACACCTCTGCCATTACTCCCAAAATGATGCAAAACTTCATAGTGCAAAATAAGTCCATATCATTCATAGGATGTGTAATACAGTTGCTAGTTTATGCAACATTTGCAACCAGTGACTGTTACCTCCTGGCTGCTATGGCAGTGGACCGTTATGTAGCCATCTGTAAACCACTTCAGTATCCCATAGTCATGGCCCGAACAGTCTGCATCCAATTGGTTGTTGGCTCATATGTGATGGGTTCACTAAATGCCTCCGTACACACAGGATTTACATTTTCACTGTCTTTCTGCAAGTCCAACGTCATCAATCACTTTTTCTGTGATGTTCCCCCAATTCTCTCCCTTTCTTGCTCCAATATCAACATCAACATCATGCTACTTCTTGTCTTTGTGGGATATAACTTAACATTCACTATAATGGTCGTCATCTTCTCCTATGTATATATCATTGGTGCCATCCTAAAGATGTCTTCTGCTGCCGGGAGAAAGAAAGCCTTCTCCACGTGTGCCTCGCATCTAACAGCAGTGACCATTTTCTATGGGACCGTCTGCTACATGTACTTACAGCCTCACTCTAATAATTCTGAAGAAAATATGAAAGTGGCTTCCACGTTTTACGGTATTGTAATCCCCATGTTGAACCCTCTGATTTACAGTTTGAGAAACAAGGAGGTAAAAGAAGCTCTAAAAATAGTGGTAAAGAAGTTCTAGAATGGGCACAAATTATTATAGTATAGCACAACAACAAAGCATCTAATAGAGATACTTTATAAAAATTTACACTTTCTAAGATTGAAACCTGTCACCATCTTAAATTAGTACTCACACTTTCAGTACATAAAATCTTATAAAATGGGAAATGTAGTAAGAATGTCAACTGGGACAAATTTTTCCAGGAATATAGTTTGAGAAAGTTTTCTCATACTGCCCATTAAGAAGGACTTAATGAAGATTATTTGTCATTTAAGAATAATGTAAAGCATTTATTAAAAATATATATTTAATTGTCAGGATATATTTCAAATATGTTCTTAAAGACTAGAAAATTATTTTGTGTGTATTGCTGTTTCTGCTGTTAAGTGCTATTGAGTTGGGTCTGACTCCTAGTGACCATGCATCGGGGTCCGAAGAGGGGTTGGTGAATTTGAAACTGCCAACCTTGTGGTTCAAATTGACCTTGCAGTCCAGTACATTATCCCTCATCATCATGTAATATCAATATTAATGAATTTCATAATTCTTCATTGATTTAAATAATTTTATATGTTTTGCCTAATGAAGCTTTCCATAAATTTCATTGTGGTTACTGCAAATAATTGCATATATAATTGATATATTTCTATAAAAAGCATCTTATGACTCCAGGTATCATTTTTTACCTAATATGTCTAAATTATGGAAATGTCATATTATTTGGAAAAATTTACTTCTGTCTTATCTCCTATTCTAAATCCATGGCTTCCTTGTCTAGAGAAAGGTAAATTTTACAAACACTGTCTACTTTTCTTTGCAATAGCGACAGAGACTCTAGAATGATCATTTGTTTATAAAATGGCATAGCAATCATTTCAGTTCATGTAATTAGCTTTAAATTACAGACACTCCATGGGAAGTCCAAAGAATGCCAAGAGTCTTTTGGTTCAGAAATAAAAATTTATGACAGAAAAGCACAGGAACATAGGTTGAGAGTAGATGAAGGAAGCAAAACTCCACCTAAATTATAGAGATGCCGTGCTAGTTGGATGAAAGAACAAGTTTTGCAACAAATTTACACCAGTTTTTAAACTGAGAGAAAGACAAGGCTTCATACTCCTGTAAAGATTCATGCGGGGGTTCCTGCCCTCCGCAGGGGTCATGGGACATGAGCGAATACGCGGAAACATCGGGTGAAGAAATGAATGAATACAACTCGAGAGGCTTTTCAACTTGTTGTGCTGTCCGGCTATGCTCTCTAGCTTCTGCCCTTGCTTCTGCTTCCTGTTCTCTTTGCTGTCTGCCCTCTGCCTTCTGCCTTCTCCCTCTTGCTCTCTTCTTCTTCCTCCTAGCTCTGCCTTCCTGGCTCTGCCAGTTCCTTCTCCTTTCTTTCTTCTTTCTGCTGCTAGCCCAGCCCAGCAAGTCTTTTTTTTATATACTTAAAATTACACAGTACATCCATTGACACTTTTATCATTTCTTGAATTATTACACAGTTAGTCACAACATTCTTGTACCTGGTCCTTAGACAGCCTTAACAAGAATACTCTGTGATGTTCAGACTGACCTTCATGTTCTTTCCCAGTATGAGATAAAACTGTTTATCCTTGTTTCTACTAAAAGACTATAAACTTCTATCCTACATAATGTGCTATTATTTTTATAATAAAGATATTCATTAAATCACTTGGAAGCTATGTGGCATAAAGCCCAACCTGGCTACTTGTTGCAAGAAGTGTAGATTATTAAATCAAAACTATTCTTCACTTCATTATTGTCTACTTATTCATGCAGGTGTTTGTATGTAGGGGTTTGTGAATTCTACTAGCGACTGAATGTGGTGAGGTGTATGGGGGTAGGTCAGTTTGACTCTAATATGCTATCTGCTTTTGTGGCCCCACAAATGCAGTTACTTATGTTTTCTAAGGAAAGGGAGTAATTTATACAAGTTCTCTTTGTATTCAATCCACCAAGGCTGAAAGCAATTGCTGCTAAGCTAGTTTTTCCTAAGGTTTATAGAATTCATAGTGAAAGCTGAGAATATTGCCAAATTATATATTTTTACAAGTAAATTCAGGGCTAACTTGAAGGGAAGATAAGGGTCAGCTTTTGAGAATCATATGCCGTGCATAATGTCTCTCCTCTTAGTGTGGCCTTGCCAAGCACCCAGAGTTAAGCGTTTCCCGCAGATTTACAGCCTTGGAAGCCCTGAATAGCGTTGCTATGAGATGGAATCAACAATGGCAGTGAGTTCAGTTATTTATTCTTATAAAACAATCAATGGATGGACAAAACAATCTACCATTAAGTAAAAGTATATGGAGGATTCATCAGGAGAAGATATGTTTTTCAAATTCAATATGCCACCTAAATTGTAAGACAAGAGAAAAATGACAATAACTTGAAGTCAATGGGTGACACGAACCTTTCCAGAAGAAGATTGTCTTTACAAAGGCATGGACCTTCTGCCTCAGGGAAGGACTAAGTATCTTCAAGGACCAGGTCCAAGCATCCTCACAGCTAGAGTGTCATTAGCAAAGATGTCAGATGATATTGTGAGGCCCAGGAAGGGAAACATTGAAATCCAGTTTAAGAAACTATTTTTACATGTTGGGAAGTATAAATGTCTAATATGGAAATGAGAAAGAAAACAGAGAATAACATAGTATTCTGCACTCAATATTTGTGTATTAGGTAGCTGCCCTTGAGTTACCTCCCACTCATGGTGACTGTGTGTGCAACAGAAGTAAACGTTGCCTGCCCCTGGGCCTTCTTCATGAGCCTTTGCATGCTTGACTCAATATCTATGGCTCTTGTGGGACTCATTGTTCTGTTTTAGCTGGTCTCTGTTTTATCAAATGGTGAGCACGGTGAATCTATAGAATATGGACTGCAAGCCATAAGGTCACTGGTTCTATCCCACAAACTGCTCCTCAGGATAAAGATGAGACTTCCTGCTCCCATGAAGATTTACTCATAGCACTATACAAAGTTGCTCTGAATCACAGCTGACTCGATAACAATAACAACTTTACCCAACATGCTTTCTTTTCTAGGAATTGTTTTTTCCTGATGACATGCTCAAACTTAGCTAGTCAAAGCTATCTATTCTTGCTCTTAAGGAGCATTTTATGGTAGTATTTCTTCTTCTAAGACTGAATTGTTTATTCTTGTGGCAGTCCTTTACATATTTAAGATTCTTCACAACTCCATAACTTGAATGCATCTATTTTTTTCTGTTTTATTGTCCAACTCTCACATGACTATCAGATTGAAAAGCCATGACTTGAGTCCTCCCTCATTAGTCATCAAGGTAACAGTGTTGCTTTAAAAGGGTATTTTGTTGTAGAGTTTAACAACGCAATATGTTGTTTCTTAACTATTGCTCCCATGGATGTTGACTGTTGATCCAAGTAGAATGAAATGATTGATGATATCAGTATTTTCTGTATTTTCATTATATTGATTATCAGTTCATTTGTGAGGATTTCTTTTTTTTTTTTTTTTCATGTTCAGTAGTAATCTATACTAACGGCTATGGTCTTTGACCAGTAAGTACTTCAAATCTTCATTTTCAGCAAGCAAGTCTCCACATCTGCATGTCATAAGAGTTAAGGAAATACAAAAAGTCAAATGAGTTATGTGACAAGTAGACAAAACAGCCAAGTCTCTGAGTCTCATAAAAAAATAAGGAATTAACCTAGTTGTGTTCATTGTGGAGCAACCTAACACTGGCCTGAGATTGATCAGCAAGTATCCAAAAAAAAGCCTTTCCTTTCTGACATCATATAAATTACAAATAATTTGATGATGAATATTTATAGTTGTTTAATATATTGTCAACCAAAATTTTAGGTCGCTTGGACCCAGTCTAGACTGATGAGAGAGACAAAATACATATAATAATAACACAAACAGAAACCACACTTGACTGAATCAGAATGTAAATCATTGCTTTATTTATTTACTTGCAACTGTACACATTCACTAAAGGCTTAGATAGGGACACTGGAGGCCTATAAGTAAAGGAGACATTATATCTAGGAAGAGACTTTAAAATACCTTTAAAAGCTAGGAAATCATTAGCAAAGATGACAGATGATGTTGTGAGTTCCTGAGTTACTCTAAACCAAAATATTATATTTCTCATGGATTGTTGCTATTGTCGTTAAGTGCTGTCGAGTCAGTTCTGACCCATAGAGATCCTGTATAGGTTTTCCAAGGAGCAGCTGGTGAGCTTGAACTGCCGACCTTGCAGTTCAAATGGCTTTGCAGTCTGGCGCATCAATCCACAGCGCCATACCAGGATCCCTTCTCATGGATCATGGGGTCAAAATGTGACTCACTAGTTAAGCACTCAACTACTAGTTAATTGGCTGGGGATTGGAACACACCCAGCATCTCCATAGGAAAAAGACCGGGCAATTTGCTGCTATAAAGATTGTTGTTCTTGGGCGACACTGAGTCAGTTCCAATAGAAAACCACCCTATATGACAGAGTACAACTTTCCCATAGAGTTTCCTAGGCTATGATCTCTGTTGAGCAGATGACTAGGTTTTTCTTCTGTAAAGCATCTGGTGGGTTTGAACAGCCAACCTTTCAGTTTGCAGTCAAATGCTTTAACCATTGCACCATCAGGAATCCTCCATAAATTGCACAGCCTAGAAAACCCTTCAAGGAAGTTCACAGAGTTAGATGGGGTTATTATGAGTCTAAACAGGTTTGACTGCACCTAACAACCACAAAATGTAAAACTCATTCACAAACTACAATAGCAGCAGGATGCTGAGAGAACCAACTGCAAAAGAACCTGGAGCCAAGACAGAAGGAAGGTTGAGTAAATATCCATGATGCATACTGCAACGTTTAAGCAACAGCAGCAAATGCTGCTAAAAAGCAGACAAACTTAAGAGTAGAAGACCTTCATTTTATGAATTTTCAGGTAGGTACTTTGCATTGTCCGTCTCAAATTAATCCCATCCTTATTCTCACCTATTGGATAGGTGAGAGAACTCAA